ATTGATTCATCAAAATGACAATCAGCAAATCTGGCTGTAAACAAATCTCATGTCATAGGCTCTAGATATTTAATATTAGAAGGAGATTCATAACCAACATATACTCCCAACCTTCTTTGGACCCATCTTTGTGCATTGTGGTGGAGCAATTGGAACATATACCACACATCCAAATATTCTTAGATGGGAAATATTTGGCTCCAGACCAAAAGCCAACTGTAATTGGGAGACTTTATGATAACTGGTTGGCCTTATGCGCACAAGTGCTGTTGCATGCAAAATAGTATTTTCCCACACTGAAAGGGGAAGTTTTGTCCTCATTAGCAATGGTCTAGCTGTTAATTGGAGGCATTTAATCAATGATTCTGCTAGACCATTTTGAGTATGAACATGAGCAACCGAATGCTCAACTTTTATTCCAGTGGCCATACAATAATAAATAAAGGTCTGAGATGTAAATTCACCAGCATTATCAAGACGAATTGTCTTAATTGCATAATTTGGAAATTGTGCTCTTAACCTTATTATTTGGGCCAACAATCTCGGAAATGCCATATTACGAGTTGACAATAAACACACATGTGACCATCTTGTAGATGCGTCTATCAAGACCATAAAATACTTGAATGGTCCACATGGAGGGCGTATAGGCCCACATATATCACCCTGTATACGTTCCAGAAATGCAGGGGATTCAATCCCAACTTTAGCTACCGATGGTTTAATAACCAATTTTCCTTGAGAACAAGCAGCACAAGAGAATTCCTTAAATTGAAGAATCTTCTTGTTCTTCAATATCTGCCCATTTGAATTCTCTATTATTCTGCGCATCATGTTAGAACCGGGATGGCCCAACCGGTCATGCCAAATGATAAAATCATTAGAAGTAGTAAACCTTTTGTTTACTATGGCATGTGATTCAACCACACCAATGTTTGTGTTGTACAATCCAGAAGAAAATGCGGGTAATTTTTCGTGTACATATTTTTTCCCCACTTTTATTGTAGTAATATAAAGGTATTCAACCTTTCCTTCATTTGATGTCTCAACATGGTAGCCATTTTGGCGAATAGCTTTGAAACTCAACAAGTTTCTTTGAGACTTACTATAATACAATACATTATCAATAGTTAATATCGTTCTTCCAGGTAGTAATAAGGTCGCTCTTCCAGAGCCCTCAATCAACTTTGTATTACCAGATATTATATTAACATAGGCTTTTTTTATAACCAAATAAGAGAAAAATTTCTTTTCTCTTAATATTGTCTGAGTTGTAGCACTATCCAAAAGACATAAATCTTCATTACTCTTCATAAAAAAAAATAAAAGTACATCATGAGAAATACGGTAAAACTAACATCACCAATGACAACATAAGACAACTTAAGTACTATGTGACGACCCGACAGGTCATTTTAAGCTCTAGCGTGTCGTTCGGCGATTTGAAGCCACGAGCAGCTTCATTTCAGGTATTATGACTCGTACGCGTGATCGGAATTGAATTTTGGGAAGTTCGGAGTCGATTTGGAAAAAGAATTCTCATTTCGAAAACCTTAAGTTGGAAGAATTGACTAAGAGTGGATTTTTGAATAAAAGACCTCGGAATCGGGATTTGAAGGTTCCAGTAGGTTCATATGGTGATTTCGGACTTGGGTGTATGTTCGGATCAGGTTTTGGATGACCCGGGAGCGTTTCGGCGCCTATTGTGGAAGTTAGCATTTTAGAAGAATTTCATAAATTTGGGTTGAAGTGCATTTCAATGTTATCTATGTCCGTTGGGGATTCCGCATCTAGGAATAGCTCTGTGTGGTGATTCTGGTATTGGGAGCGTGATCGAAAGTGGATTTGGAGGTCCATAGGTCATTTTGGAGTCATTTGGCAAAAGTTAGAAATTTGAAGGTTTTTTAGAAGTTTGACCGAGAGTTGACTTTTTGATATCGGGGTCGGATTCCGATTCTGGAAGTTAGAGTAGGTCTGTAATGTTGAATGTGACTTGTGTGCAAAATTTGAAGTCATTCCGGATTGATTTGATATGTTTCGGCGCAAAATATAAAAGTTGGAAGATTTGAAAACTCATAATTCGATTCGATGCGCGATTCATGATTTTGACGTTGTTTGATGTGATTTGAGGCCTCGAGCGAGTTCGTATCATGTTTTGGGACATGTTGGTATAATTGGTTAAGGTTCCGAGGGCCTTGGGTGGATTTCGGAAGGTTAACGGAATGGATTTCGGACAAAGAAAGCTGCTGAAATTCTGTTGCAGAAGCTGTTCACCAGAAATTTTTTGATGCGAGGAGTCGATTTTGGAAGCACAGATCTTGCAATCTATAAGGAATCTGAAAATTTGCAAAACATGAAAGTTGTACCCCTTGCATTCTAATTTCCAGAGAGATAAACCATTCATCATTTGGATATTTGTACTAAAAGTTATGATCGATTAAATAAAGGCTGGTAAAGCTGTTTTGCAATTTCCCAGAAATTTCTGATGCGATGAGCCTACTTTGGAAGCTTATATCTCGAAATCCATAAGGAATCTGAAAAATCGCAAAATATGAAAGTTGTAGATCTTTGATTCTAGTTTTCAGAATGTTAAACCGTTCATCATTTGAATATTTGTAAAGAAAGTTATGGTCTGTTGACTGAAGAATGATAGTAGTTCATTTTTGCCCAAAAAACAGGCATAGTCGCATTTTATACCTGCGACTTGCCTAGGCAGAATGTCTAAAAACGGGAGTCAGCCATTTTTACTCATTTTTGATTTTTGAGTCTCGGATTTGAGCGATTTTTGGAGCTTTTGGAAGAGAGTTTTCACCTAACACTTTGAAGTAAGTAATTTCTACACAACATGAGTTTAATACATAGATTATGGATAGATTAACATGTAACAATTGGTGAAATCAAGGGTTTAGATGAAAACCTGGATTTTGTATAAAAATGAGATTTGAGCACGAAAATGGTTATGGAATTTGATAAAAATCATATATCTGACTTCATAAGGTTATGGGTAACAACTTTCTTCAAAAATTTCCGGAATCTGGGCACGTGGGCCCGGGGGTGAATTTTAGGAATCTTACATTTAGGGTTGGGTAATCACCTTAATAGTTGGAATATGAATTTTTGAACATGTATTGATTAGTTTATATACTATTTCATTAGTTTTGGATTGTTCCGCACCGAATTGAGGGTTTGAGCATAATCTTGGATCGAAAAGTGGGCTTCGGAGCAAGGTAAGTCTACTTTCTAACCTTGTAAGAGGGAATTATCTCCATAGGTGAAATAATTAAATATGTGCTTCTATTTATGGGGGCTACGTACGCACGAGGTGACGAGAGTCCGTGCGTAGCTAATATTATGCTTAAGTCCGGGTAGTCTAGGACCCGAAAGCATGCTATACTTGAAATATTTGTAACCTTATTGACAATTTAAATTGCTTAAATCATATCAAATTGGTAAATGAATTTCCAAAGAAATTAAACATCATTTTCTTGACCGTTAAGGAGAAGTTGCCATTTCTTTGGGTAATTGTTTCCCTGATGAATTCTTGATTGACTGTTTGATGTGTTTATTTATATTTGACTGCGTCGCATGTATGATTCGCGAGTGGGGTAATAGATGCATCTATGGTTCGCACCATTCGACTCTATGGCAGTGCACAATTTAAATATTATGTTGGATCCGACCGTACGACCTCGACATGATTTGCGCATGCTTGTATTGCTTGCCTTGAAATTCATGATGTTAATATTTGTTTCTCCCTGGCCTGAGATAAATGTAGAAATGATAAAAATGAATTTGGGAATTTCCTATAAACGAAAGAATTGTTTACTTGCCTCATGCTATTTGAGTTACCGTCATTTTTATGAAAATCCTCGATTTATTAAATTATTGGTATATTATCATTGGACCACTAGTAAATGTCGAAGTCGACCTATCGTATCTATTTCTTCGAGATTAGATGGGATACTTACTGAGTACACGTTGTTTTCGTACTCATGCTACACTTGCTGTGCATTTTTGTTGCACAGGCACATGTACCTCTAACGACCTAATGGTGTAGCAGCATGGATGATATGGAGACTTAGGCGAGCCGTATCTCTCGAGGCGACCCGCAGCCAGCATAGTCTCTTTCAGTGTATTGTATTTACTTGTCCAAATTTGTATTCCGGACAGTTACTGTACTTCATTTGATTTCCTAGTAATTGCTCATGCACTTGTGACACCGGGTTCTGGGATGATTATGGAATATTTAATAATAAAAGTTGCAAACATTTTTATTTATTCAGTGATGATTACCTTTTTACTAGTTAAATTAAATAAAATTATGGTTCCTAAAATATTAAAATGAGAGTTTAATTAAATACTCAATGTTTGCTTGCCTGACCGAGGTGTCCCGCGCCATCACGGCCTTTGATGGATTTTGGGACGTGACATACTACTTGAAAATAAAAACAACTTCAGACGAGAGAAAAGCACTGAAAAATAAAAATAACAACATAATTGCATTCCCCAGTAAAATGATAAAATTTTAGTTTTGATCTCCAAAGAAATCTTCAACTTCCAAATGAGTAAGATCATCGAGGCCTTGAAAAGCATCATCATTCAAAGCAAGATTTGCCTCGGCATTGTCATCATTTTTATTTGAAGGCCCTGCCTCAAAATCATTTTTAAAGGTCAAGTGAGACTCCATTGGGGCATTAGGAGAAGATGCTCCAATATTATTTGCCTTTCTTTTGATGGAGTTTTGATAAAGCCTGACGAAATACTCAGGTGCACGACATTCAATTTTCCAATGACCTTTCATGCCACAGCGGTGGCAGTTACCGCTGTTGCCTCTTGAATGATTATTTTAAGAACCCATATTGTTCTCTCGTTTGCCATGACCACCATGATGACGACTATTATATCGTCTCTTACCATTGCCATGCCCACGTACATTCATATGTCCATGATTATTATTCTGCCTTTTTCCAGACTTATCGCGTCTAGCTGCCATATTCGCTTCAGGAAGCGGAGCTGCTTGTGGGACGGGCTTCATGATTTTTCAGCAAAAGGGTATTATGTTGCTCAGCCACCAGAAGGCATGAGATCAATTCAGAATACTTTTTAAAACCCCTTTCACGGTATTGCTGCTGTAATACCATATTTGAGGCATGAAAAAATGTAAGAGTCTTTCCCAACAAATCCTCATCATTCATAATATCCCCATATAATTTCAATTGGGAAGTTATTCGAAATACAACAGAGTTATACTCACTTATGGTCTTAAAATCTTGCAACCGTAGGTGCATCCACTCATATCGAGCCCTTGGCAATACCGTTGCCTTAAGGTGATCGTACCTCTCCTTCAGGCCAGTCCATAATTCAAGTGGATCTTTCACTGTCAAATATTCAACCTTCAAACCTTCATCCAAATGATGACGAAGGAAAATCATGGCCTTCGCTTTGTCTTGGCTTGATGCCTCATTACCCTGAGTAATGGTGTTATCAAGGCCTTTAGCGGCTAAGTGAATCTCAGCATCGAGAACCCATGATAGGTAATTCTTTCCAGAAATGTCAAGTGCCACAAACTCAAGCTTTGACAAATTCGACATAGTGAAACTGAAAACTATCAAAGATGATAAATAATTAGAATTCATTAGGATAATAGCGTAAAGAATCTTAAAAATTGACATAATATCAAATTTGTGATCTATATACCCTAAAGTGATAATTCCATAGAAAAGAATACTATTTGTTTCTTCAAATTATTAGAATATCTTTGATGTTAACTAGAACAAAAATGTCTTCTAACTTTAACACAATTTCAAATGTCGAACAACATAAAATAAGTATTCTTCTCTCAATTAATTCTATTAACATGAAAATTAGCAACTTTCACATGACAATCATACAAATAGCTTAAAATAAAGAAACATAGAATTCTTTATTTTTACACATATCTAGAAATGTGAGAAATTATAAAACTGCATATTAAAGATACTAATCATGAAATCAAAATATACAACGAAGAAAATAAAATGAACAAATATACCTGAACAACGAAAAGAGCTCAACTTCGTGCTCATAACGTGTTAAGAAATGTAGCTCAAAGTAACAATATAAAACAAGTAGATAAGTAGAATAAGAGAAGAAGAGATAACTTTTGTCTTAAACATGACATTAATAATTGAGAATATGGGGAAAGATCATGGGGAGATGTTATGGAGGTGTGGGAATTACAATCATAATAGTAATGAGTAGTGAAAGGTTATTTACATTATAGATGAAAATAGTGCATATTAACTATAGGTTTTACAACAATTTTTTGAATTTGTGTTGTTTAACATTTTAACGGGCTCCGTCTATATCTCCGTCATGCAATGGGTTTAAGTTGCGTGTCTTAATATAACCGGAAAAAGTTGGTTAGGTAATCATCAAGGGGAAGTAGCTCATATGGTAGAGCATTCGCTTAGCATGCGAGACTAGAGGTATGGGGATTGATACACCCCGCATCTCCATTTTTTCACTACTACTACTTATTTCTTTCCAGCTTTTAGAGTTTTTGGAACCAATTACTGCCATCCCCTACCCCCCACCCCCCCACCCCCGCACCCCCCAAACATATTTAGAAAGTTTTTTACTACTTAATTAAGCTAGTTTAAGTCCGGCAATTTTTAATGTTTTTAGTAGCTCGTGGAAGCTATTGTCCCTTTTCCCCTTCTTGATTATGTAGCTTTTTGTTGATCTCAAGATTTAAATGCTTAATCTATTTGCATGACATGATTAAATCACGTTTAGGCGTCAAAATTAAATAGACCATTACCGACAATTTTTAATGTTTTTAGTAGCTCATGGAAGCTATTGTCCCTTTTGCCCTTCTCGATTATGTAGTTTTTTGTTGACAAGATTTAAATGCTTAGACCTCATTTGTTGCGCTTAATGGAGATCTTAATTTTAATCATTCATATTTTAGATATTAAGTGCGTTTGTTTTTAAACTTTGAATGTTAATTATTCAGATCTTAATCGCTAAGTGTGTGTGTTTTTTTACTTCACACCCACTTAATAGGTCTGAATAGGTCTGTATGACTGATATTTGAAACAGAGATTTAATTTCATTAAGGTGCTATCACCCATATTCATTATTAACTGTCGCCACCACCTACCATTATAACCTATGCCACCACCATACTCAACCACCACACCACCATCATCCTCAATCATAACCGCCGCTCTTATCGACCACCACCCACCATCCCCACCACTCCCACCACCATCATTCTCAACTACCACAACTAACCACCCAATCACCATCAACAACCACAGCCGCCACTGCCCATTATTATAACCTACCACCACCTTCCTCAATCACAAATACAACCACTACCTGCGATTATTAACTATCACCATCCACCACCACCATCATCAATCATAATCGCCATCACTACCAATTACCACTAGCTACTACTATGAACCATCACCATCAACCAAAATTACTACCAACCACCGCCTCTAGTCGGCATTCACCTGCTAGCCATCACCACCTACAACTATCATATTTTAAAAAATTATATATTTTATTGATAGAATATTAGATTAATTAGTATTTCATTTGAATTTTTTATTTATTAATTTTCAAATAAAGATAAATTTTATACATTCAGATATTAAAAATCAAACAGTCTTAATCATTTAGTATTCAGATCTTAATGTTCAGATGTGTATTCAGATTCAGATATTTTAATCTTAATACACATATTAATTAATATGCAGATGCGTATTCAGATTCAGACGTCTTAATCTTAAAAAAAAAAAATATGAGGCCTTAATCTACATGATTAAATCACGTTTAAGCGTCAAAATTAAATAGACCATTAAATGTATAAAATTCATCCATATTCTTCACTCTCATTTAATCTCTAATACTATCATTCGACTAATAAGAGATAGATGATATACGTTTACACTATGCTTCCCTAATTATATAAACTAGTTTTGACTATAATTGTTATAAAACATATGTATTATAGGTGTTTAGCGCCAAATTGAAGTAACCCAATGAACAGTTAATCATTTTGATGAATAACAAATTAACAGACTATTTTTGTGACTCGTGACCAGTTTAAGGGAGCTGGATTTTAGAAGAATGTTAATTATGTTTAATGTTTTCCAGATGTTTTCGTGACTTTAACGTTCTTGGTGTGGCACCGACAAGTTACCAAAGCCGAGCCTATTTTCATGATAGGAAAGTCAAGTGGGTTACAAAGCTAAGTATGAGGATTTTAAGTGAGATTTGGTTCGGTGATTTAATATTTATAGGTTCTTGTAACGATTTCAAATTAATTATTGGATTCATTGTTTTATAATTAATAAATTTTTAGTACATATACATACTCGACAAAAGCTATTTGGTTACCTGAAACCTGCATGTTGGCCGCTAGATCTGCCACTACTTGCCCACAAATCACCCTATTCATATCAACGTTATTATCTCTTTTATTGAACAATCGTGTTTGTTGAGCAAGTTTATGTGTGCATACGGACGTACTAGTTTCGTATGATACCTGTTACCTCCTATTAGTAGAGGTCTCGGCCCTATTCATATGAATGTTATTATTTCCTTTTTGATAGAACAATTGTGATGTTTAGGTAAGTTTGTGTGCATCTCGATTAGTTTTAAGTGATGCTTACCAGCTACCTTCCAATAGTACATGTATCGAATAACTTTATTCACAAACAGTAGCGAAGCTACATGGTCACAAGGGTGGTCAATATTGAAAAAGGAGTTACTTGAGGATTAGGTAGTTAGGCGTCATTAGTGAGAAGATTATTTATGTAAGAGGAGTTTAGTTAATTTGTTATATTAGAAGGTAGTTACAGGTATTGACAACTGTCAAAATAGATATACATATAGGCATGCATGTACAGAGTTACAGATGGCTTAAGTCATTTCATTTTCAATAAACATTTTCGTTCAATATTTCTCTCTCTAGAAAGTTCTCTTGTTCTTCTCCTCTGCCCAGATTAGGGCTTAGATCAACTGAGCTTCAAGCTCACATTTTGACATGGTATCAGAGCCACACGGCCATTAGTATGGTCTCACTCGTCTTCATTTTAATCTTCTTAAGATTTGGTGGTGAAGGTCAGCAATGGCGGTTGAAGATACGGAGCCGAAAAAGCTGGGTCACAATCATCCATTGTTCCTGAACTCAAACAATAATCCTGGAGCGATTTTGATTTCTCTACAGCTGCGAGGGCTGGAAAATTATTCCGTGTGGAGCCGAGCGATGAGAATCGAAATCCTAAGGCGAAACAAGCTAGGGTTTATTGAAGGCACATGCAAAAGGAAGAATTATGATCCAAATCTCGTAGATTTGTGGGAACACTGCAATGCTATCATCTTATCGTGGATCATGAACTGTGTTTCACCAGAATTGATTAGTGGAATCGTCTACTCATCAAATGTTAGTGAGGTCTGGAGCGACTTGAAGGAACGATTCGATAAAGTTGATTCTTCCAGAATTTATCAAATCCATAAAGAAATTGCCACAATCAGTCAAGGTACCAGCTCAATTTTGACCTATTTCTCGAGACTTAGAGTTCTTTGGGCAGAATTTGAAAGTCTAGCCCCAATGGGATGTAATTGTGCAAGGTCGAGTGAATCTGTCACATTCATGGAGCGACTGAAACTCCCAAAATGTCATCTTTAAATTTAATGATCACTTCTGTATTCTAAGACCTTGAAAATCAATAATTAATCATTCCTCGACTTGCATGTGCAGTCCGTACAATTTTTCGCAAAGTTTTTATTCGAAAAATAGATTAAAATGTGAATTAGAGCTTTAAAACTCAACTGAGTTGACCTCGGTCAATATTTTGAGCAAAGGGACTCGGATCAATGCTTTGACGGTTAGGTTAAGTTCGTATCGTTATTTGGGACTTGGGAGTATACCTGGAATCAAATTCGGAGGTCCCTATCTTAGATTATCACCATTTAACTGAATCTAGAAATCTAAGGCTAAAGATTTCTTAAGTTTGACCGGAGATTCGACTTTTGAGCAAACGAATCCGGAATAAAATTTTGATTATTCCAATAGCTTCGTATGGTGATTTCGGACTTAGGCGCATGTTCGGATTTGGATTTGGAAGTCTGTAGGACAATTCAGCGCATTTTGGTGAAAGTTGGAAAATAGAAGATTTTTGGAAAGTTTGACCGAGAGTTGAGTTTTTGATATCAGGGTCGGAATCCGATTCTGAAAATTGAAACAGATCCATTATGTCATTTATGACTCGTGTGCAAAATTTGAAGTCATTCCGGATTGATTTGATATGTTTCGGCGCAAAATATAGAAGTTGGAAGATTTGAAAACTCATAATTCGATTCGATGCGCAATTCGTAATTTCGGCATTGTTTGACGTGGTTTTAAGCCTCGATTAAGTTCGTATTGTATTTTAGGACATGCTGGTATATTTGGACAAAGTCCCGAGTGGCTCGGATGAGTTTCGGATGGGGTTCGGAGCGCTTGGCGCCTTGTTGAAGCTGCTGAAATTTCTGCAGAAGCTGTCTTTGGCAGCAACTAGTGCAATCGCAGAGCCTGCTTTGGAAGCTTATA